TGTCTTAACCCATAACGGGTCGTGGAACCCAAAAGTTATGGGTTTCTGCAGACTATGGGTTACCAGAACGTGTGACATTATGTGACTACCTAGTACGCGTGACAGACAGCCTATCCGGTATAGGCCGGACGTCGTTTATGACACCGTTTAGATACGGAATCTTGAGTCTGGTATGGGTTATCTTCTGAAATACCACGAGAACCAAAAATTAAGGGTCCAGATGGTCCAGATTCTCGTGAGAAGGAGACCTGTACCTTCCTAATATAGGTTGTTTTATGGGTTATGACCCTTCAAAAAGCTATGGGTTATGGGATACGGGAGACTTATGGGTTTTTACTATCTACCATGTCGGTGGAAGCCAAAAACCTATGGGTTATTACAGGTTATGGGTTATGACAGGTATGGGTTAAGACAGAGTCGACTGTAGATATCACCCATGGCTGTACAGAAATTCGTGGTCGAAGCCGTGTACGTCCTGCATGCTCTCCATATTTCGCTGTCCGCTGACACCCGGGCCCAGCCTATTCGACATGGACGGCACCCTGGTAGACTCCACCGCAGGTGTCGTAGGCGCATGGGAGACATTCGCAGAGACCTACCCCGGTTTGAACGTGACAGAAATCCTTAGCAGTAGATGAGTCGCCCCTCCCGCTCCCGTGCACCCGCTCACTCCCTGTCCTGAGCCTCCCATGGCGTACGGACCGTCGAGAACCTGAAAAAACATTGCGGTATCACAGACCCGGACGAGCTTGAGGTCGGCTATCCGCTTCCATCATCCTCCACCGGACACTGAGAGTTGGACCTGACCATCAGCGAGAAGCGTCCCGATTCGAGAAGGAAATCGTAAACTCCTCCAAGAAGAATGGTCGGCGGGGCATAGTCCAATTACCAGGTGTTCGCGAGATCATGGCCGAAGTACATTCTCCTCTCTTCCTCCCTGTCATAAACTCACACTCCAACGCAGCTGCTTCCGGGTCGGTCACTGCCCAAACCCTGCTGGGCTATCTGCACCTCCGCCACTCGGGATTACGCTGCCGCCGCCCTGGAGATGGCTGGTGTTCCGGTTCCCGAAGCATTCGTTGTCGCAGAAGACGTTCAACAGGGCAAGCCCGCGTCAGTCGCCCTAACCGCCCTTCTCTCCCCCCCTCCATAGCGTCACTGAGAGTTGCTGTATAGGCCTGATCCGTACTTGCTCGGCGCAAAGAAAGCTGGCGCAGACCCCAAGAAATGTACGCATGCTCCCTCGCGTCGCCGTTGTACCCTCGGGCCTAATACTGGTTTACCAAGGCCTTGTCGTGGAAGACGCTCCCGCCGGAATTCGCAGTGGGCAAGCGGCAGGCTGCAAAACCCTAGCGCTCGTTACCTCGCATACTCGGGAGCAAATGGAGGCCACTAAGCCCGACTATCTGGTGACGAACCTCGCGAGGTAACTTGGCAAAGCTGATAATTCCATGTACACCAAACTCAACGAATCCGTAGCGTAACAATGAAGAGGATCGAAGGAGGTGTCGAAGTCACCATTCATATGCCGTAGAGGATCGAGCTGCTATGGGTATCGTCACGTATTTATTCTAGAGCCTAGACTCAAAGTAACCAGACCGCTCCTGCCCGTAGAGAAGTAGAGTAAAAGTGCAGAAGCGTTTTGTTTAAAGCTAGACTAAAGGAGTGATAGGAAACACTCAGATGATGCATTCGACCAAAGCGAAAGAAATTTTGCTACACGAATCAATTACACAGTTCCATAAGATGAAAAGACCGATCCGGGCATTAAAGCACTTTAATACTCAACCTCCTCCTCGGCATCAGCAGAGTCCTGGCCGACTTCCTCATAGTCCTTCTCGAGGGTGGCAAGATCCTCACGGGCCTCAGAGAATTCACCCTAGGAACATGATGTCAGATCACGCGTACGGGCAACAGTAGCTACCAATACTTACTTCCTCCATACCCTCACCTACGTACCAGTGCACAAACGCACGCTTCGAGTACATCAGATCGAACTTATGGTCTGAGAGAATTCGTAATCAGTAACTGAGAGCAAGAGCATAAGCCGATAACTGACCTAACCGACTCCACGCGGCAGCGATGGCAGTGGTGCTACACGGCGCATTAGTTGATTAAACGAACGTAGATGAATCATATCCGGCTTACTTCGACAACATGCACACGTTGCGTGTCGTCTTGGCGAGGTCACCACCAGGAACGTAAGCAGCGGGCTCATTGCAAATACCAAGCTAAAAGCGACTCAGAATTTATCATTGTATCAGAGAGGAGACACAAACCTTGAAACCGGTAGGGCACCAGTCGACGAACTGGATGGTCCGCCTGGTCTTGATCGTGGCAACGGCAGCGGTCACCTCCTTGGTGGCCACGTCACCACGGTACAACAAGCAGCAGGCCACTGAACAGAGACTTAGTATATGCAGGATGTGGCATGGCGGGTGTGCTTACTGTATTTCCCGTCCTTGGGATCACACTTGACCATCTGGTTGCCCTGCTCGAAGCAAGAGGTCGTCATCTCCGCGACCGAGTTCTGCTCGTGCGTAGCTTTCTCGGCTGAGAGTAATGGCGCGTAGGTGGCGAGGGGGAAGTGGATCCGGGGGAAGCTAGTTGTTTGATGCGTCAGACTGATCCTGAACATCGTGAACGCCCACCACGTACGGGACCAAGTTAGTCTGGAACTCGTTCAAGTCCACGTTCAACGAACCCTCGAAACGCAGAGAGGCGGTGATCGAGGAGACGACTTGAGCAATCAGTCTGTTCAGGTTAGTGAAGCTAGGCTGTGAAACACCGAGGCGCGTCTTGCAGATGTCGTAGATAGCCTCGTTGTCGACCTATAGCAGATGCGATCTTCAGTGAGCGACGTGTCACGCTTTTGCGAGCAGCTTTACTCACCATGAACGAACAGTCCGAGTGCTCAAGGGTGGTGTGGGTGGTGAGGACGGAATTGTACGGCTCAACAACGGAGCTCGACAGCTGGGGAGCAGGGTACACGCAGAACTCGAGCTTAGACTTTTTGCCATAGTCCGCCGACAGGCGTTCCAGGAGAAGGGCGCCGAACCCAGAGCCAGTTCCACCACCAAACGAGTGGAAAACAAAGAAGCCCTGGAGACCGCTGCAGTTGTCTGCGAGCCGGCGAACGCGGTCCATAACGGGGTCAATAAGCTCTTTTCCGACGGTGTAGTGACCGCGAGCATCTGAAGGTCTCTCGCATTAGAGTCGGCTCGCGACGAATGCATCTGATAAGACTCACAGTTGTTGGCAGCGTCCTCCTTGCCAGTGATCATGCTCTCAGGATGGAACAGAGACCGGTACGGTCCCGACTTCACATCCTCGATGACACCAGGTTCGAGATCGACGTAAAGGGAGCGAGGGACGTGCTTCCCGGAGCCAGTCTCGGAGAAGAAAGTCGACAGTCCACTGTCACCAGCCTTCCTGGGTGCACCCTCAGTGAAACGACCCTCAGGCTAAAATTCCAACGGGTTCAGCTAGCAATCCCCTCAACCCAACCATCAACAACGCACAGTCAAGTTGTGTTCAAGGGTATACAACTCCCCTGGTTATATTAGTCAGACGACGCGTCGATATCATCGAGAAGGGCACTTACAGCAGGCATTGCCAATCTGGACACCAGCCTGGCCGACGTGGACTGAGATAACTTCACGCATGTTGACTTTACCTGGCTGTCGCGGTCAGAAAGGCAATTTGGACAGGAGCCAAAAGCAGGTTTCGCGTAAATCGGGCCATGTCTGAGACGCGTGGCGATTTCAATTCCCGACGCGCCTCCGCTTTACGGCAGAGATGACTTGGATCCTTGCAGGTCCTCATGCACATGTACAGGATGTTCTCCCCAACAAATGAATTTCCATGGTCTGGATACATTGGAGCAACCCTCCAATTCTACGGGGAGCATTGTCAAGGGCCATCCGGACGAGCCAGCGAATTCTGACAGCAATCGGCGAAACGATAGAGAACTTTCAGAATTTTTCGCGCAGGCAGCCGAGCCCGGAAAGGTAATTATACCCCACTCGGGTCCACAGTGCACCACGACTCACCACTCTTGTTTTGATCAGGACACAGCATTAGCGGAGCAAAATTGGTGATACCCTACTCCAATAAGTACTATCATTGGGGGGGTTCTGTAAAAACTTGACAATATGACCTGCCTAAGGCTCTCTGCTCGAGAATTTGCTATTATTTCACTCAGGCATCATAGTGTACCTTGCTAAGTACCATCTACAAAAATAATTGTCTCGATTCACTCCGTACAAAGTAATAGAGAGAGATGCCGCAGACAGACGGCACTTGCGGGGAGTAATGTAAAAACGTCACGCGCGGGTAACACTATCCGACCCGCGCGCGTCTGTCACGCGTCTGTCACGCCCTTGAGCCCTTGGAGTTCTGTCAAATCTACCATACGAGCACTTCAGTAGCTTACAGCCATTATCGGGTGGGCGCAGGATGTTCAGACATATGCGAAACACTTCCTCTGGCTAAGCCGATATGTGCCGGGGCCGTGTAGGCAGGTAGATCTACGCATCAAGCCGCCATCAGACCTCTTACAGGGGGCACTTTGGACGGTGTTCAGCCTCCCATTCAAAAAGGGGCAAACTTGAGCCAATTATTACTTCACAAATCGTCTGTAAGGTATAGAAGGCATATACGTACCAATCCGCTAAGCTCCCTGTAGCGTACTTCTTGAGATTTCGGAGTTCTGTAAAAAATCTGACTTTTACAGAACCCCCCCAGTAGTCGAACTCAATAAGCGTTTCTCGCTCATTTTCTCAGTGCGCTGAAGCCTTTCGGGGTCCCTGCCGAACGGCCATCGGACTTGGGATCTCAGCGCGAACGAGAAAACGAGAAACAGCTCCTCGAGCTGTTTCTCTCGTTTCTCTGGGGCGGACTTTCAATTGCCATGCGCTGTACTGATGTTCCAGGCTCTCGGTTGCTTATGTCTTGCCTAATACGATATGTTTTGGCTTGTTGTGACGCGCTGTTGGACGCGCACTAAGTTGTGTTCTGGCACCCTTGCAACTACTGAGCTAGGGCAGGGCCAGTATAGTGACCCTGCTGATACTGCCACATACCGTCCCAGTCCGCCATAGAATACAGCACGTGGGATGAGCACGAGCTATCTGACAGCTGTGGTGTCTAGCAGTGTCTAGCATGCGACGAGAAATCCGCCAGAAAATGCACGCTCAATAACTTCGGGTTCTCCGTCGTCGCCGCGTCGGC